AATTGTCATTGTATTATATTAAACATATCGTTATCGAACTTTTTGATGAGAGTTGCACAAAGAACATAGACGTCGCCACTACTTTTCTCTACTTTTATTTATGTTTATATTCACAATAAGGTAGAATAATGTATTAGTAAGTTATTAAATTATTTGATGTGATTTTTACAAATTGAGCAGAAATAGCTTTTTGAAAGGTGTTGAACTTTTGTGGAGTCCATCAGAAAACATGATGAGTGTGCCGTCGGAAGACTTCCTTCTGTAAGTTCTCAATTCAGTGATTTGTGCCTCGGTCTTCTAATTCATCCTTGTCAGACGTCACGTGGAAGAACTGTTCTTTTTTTCTTCCCTTTCAGAGCATACACTTTTGCGGGAAAGGAGATCAAGTTCTTGTGAAGAAACATCGAGTTATACGCGAAAACATTTCAAGTTCTTCTGGACAAACATCGTGTTATATGCGAATATAGTTCAAGCCCTTGTGAAAAAACATCGGGTTACACGGGAAAGCAGACAAAGTTCTAGTGAACTAACATCGAGCATAACATTTTCCAGGCATAGAAGAAATCGGTTGGCACCCATTGAATATTGCAATTGATAAATGTTGGAATTCATCAATTCCCTAGATAGAGAAATGCAGCGAATGTATTGATCGAGACAAAAGTCAGGCAATGTACACGATGGCTGATAGTTATATAAATAATTGACATCTGACGGTCTCAAATATGACATTGTGTAGAGATACTGTGCCAACTGTCGATTGTCAGACTGATAGATGACATGTGTCAGTGCAAAACGCGGCACTGTGAAGAGACACTCTGCCAATCGTCGATCGTCATAGGTAACAAGTCAGCGCTTGTGCTCGAGCCAGAACAGGAGTTGAGAATCTGATTTCTAGAGATGTTCAATGATTGATAACCAAGAGAAAATCGAAAGTCAAATGTGGTTAAATGTGAAACGAGTGACTCCCACTGTTGACCACTCGGAATGTCGATAGCGTTTCGACGCTCGAGTTTCAGATGTCTCAAAAGAATTATTTTGGGTAGAAATTGTGTTATAAATAATTGGATCTTGGAGTCTAAGCAGTATCAAATGGAAGAAACACTGCCAAAATAATTCCAAGAATAGTACATTCACACATTTTTTTAGCACAAGTCGTCTTAAAGGTATCAATAATGACGTTTGATTGGATCAGACGTATTGAGCGCCAGTGGATGTGTAATATTCAGTGAATGAATATTGGGCATGCTGTTAAACAAAAATGACAGCCGATAATTCTTGTATTTTGTGAGTGTCAAGTGACGCAGATGCGGCAGTGATTTCACAACATCGGATGTGTTTGTCACGAGTCGACTGAGTTGAGGAAGCACTTTTTGTATATCATTATTCAACGGCAGCCAATGTGATTCGAAGAAGGTCAGCGATGACAAACGTTCGAGCTTATCTAGATTGCTCAGCTCTTTGTTTCTATATCTATACTGGTTGAAATAATCTCGAATGACCGAAGATTGATGAATTGTTCGATGATGAATCGAGAGAAGAAAAGATTGCATTAACCTGGTGTCTCTTCGTTGACGGATAGTGTGAGAGAGATGACATAACAAGGTCGAATCACAAGATCAAATTGGGACTTGAGCATGGAACGAAAGTTAAGTGAATAACAATTGTAGTTGGCAAGAGACATTCACTCAGGCTTAAAAATGCGTTTAAGATTTCGTACGCTCGAAGATAGGCGAAAATGTTGTAGAGCAACTCGACGGGTAGCAGGTCTAACAAGCACGAAGGCATGTTGAAGTTAACAGTTGTTTCTTCGAATAACTACAATAGTTCCACTTATTTTAATCATTCTATTTGATCTTTTAACTTATCAACATCTTCATATACACTCAATAGAGCAACGACATCGTTTACTTTCGATTCTTACGAAACAAATGATTAAAAATAACTTTATTTCATATAGCTGCTGTATTGAGTGCACATACTGTATTTATTCTAAGAGCCTCCTGAATGTTTTTGATAAGTGTCATATCTGTTTTATGTGCTCCAGAAAGTGATTCTGAACCACGTATTTTATATATAACGAATAGTCAAATTTTGAACAGACTTATCTGATGCAACGTTTTCGCAGTCAAATAGATTTGATTTAATTGGATATCTTATCAAACGAGTCTGCCGTTTTTAATTATAGCTTGTTTTTATCAGAAAAGAAAACCGTTATATGTTTTTATTTGAAGGCACGTACCATCTTAGCTGTCGTCCGCCGTGCATATTATACAGTTTAATATAATATAAATATAATATCCTCTGATATTTCTTGACCAAACGTTTCCATTTCAGAAAGCGATCACTTTGAAACTTTTTTCGAAGTGTAAAATGCTGTCTTCAACAAAGTGAGACGCCAAAAAGTTTGGTAGTGGTGCATAACTACTTAGATCTAAATCTTAATGTTTTATTTTCTATAAATGCGATCGTAAAAAGCGGACCTGAAAAAACCTATGAACTGTGTGTTTTGTGCTCTGATTTCACATCTTTTGCTTTTTCTGCAGAAGAACGTGATTTGAAATCTGTTTTTTGTGACCCAGAAAGTGATTCTGAACCACGTATTTTATACATAACGAATAGTCTATAGTCTATGGCTATACTAACCAGTGTGCTCTTTGAATTATAAATGCCGATGGTGTGGTTTTGGAAGATGGAATACATTCGGCAGATTTGCGTCATATTTGCTTAGATTGTAAGCTAACGTGGAAATCATCTACAGTGTTTAAATATGTTAAAGTAAAAACTTACTTGAAAAGATATTTTGCTAAAAGTTTCGCAAACTAAAAAGTATATTCGTTTTAAGGATACCGTTAACATTGCTGCAAGCATCAATAAGAAGTTTAATTGTACAGCAAATTTGTGCACAAGATTACAGCAATTATGGAGTTAAAAATTTTAAATATTATACTGCAGCTGATTATATAGAACTACAAGAATGAATCACTTAGGAACATGGGCAACAGAAAAGGAAATTTCTGCTGCATGCGATATATTCAAAACAGAGATATTTATTTTCCAATGTCACAAAGATGTCTGGATGAAATGGTATCCACTTCATAGTGAACGTTCTTCAGGACCATCTATTTATCTGCAAAGAAATATGCAAAAGAATCATTTTGATGTGGTCTTAGAAACTGAATAGACAAGGTAAACTTATTATTTTTCTTATAAAAAAAATTAATTTTTTCGGAGTGTTCTTTTTTACTTTCCACATCTGCTGGATAAAAACCTTAAATGACCCAAGTAGCACTAGTTTTCACTTTTTTGGGTGGTTTTCATTTTCGAAAACAACCATGCTGGAGATCGACGTGCTAAAACGTTATTGATTAGTAAACAGAAAAGCTGCTTGAGAAGTAAACTACAACCTTTATTCTCTTTCTATTTTGGTTTCATTCTTATGAAAACAATTGTAGCTGGTTTTCTTAAAGCAAATTAAACTTTACTTTCACGTTAGAATGGTAGTCTTGATCTATTTGTTCTTCTTTTTGATTGATAGTTGTGACTACTCTAGTCAAAAAATAAAAACGTGTGTATGCTCTATCCTTCTTGCAGAAATCATAATCGTATAGAATATCTTTCAGCCACATATGAAAAACGAAACCATACATTGATGAATATAACTTACTTTTGCGAAAGTTTTTTAGCATGAACAATTTTCTATACCTTCTGAAGACCGTTTGTGTAAATTTCTACACACGTCAACATATTGCGCTTTTTCAGTGATAGTCTCACAAATGCAACCAGTTGTGAGTACAAACGAAATAGAAAACGAATACAAAAGCACCTTGAATAACAATACAAATAACCAGTTGTGCCTTAGAGAAAACATCCTTAGAACTTCAATGCAGAAAATTCATAAAGCGTACAGGAACTTACACTCATAAGTTAAAATACGACGACTCCTTTTAACACCCTCAGAGAGTGTCAATAGGGCTAGCCTTGTTTTTATCAGAAAAGAAAACCATCATATGTGTGCATATTATACAGTTTAAAGATGATAGATGACATAGAGTCAAAAAGTTGAAGCGTCATGGACATGAATATCAAAAAATATAATATCCCCTGATATTTCTTGACCAACGTTTCCATTTCAGAAAGCGAGCACTTTAAAACTTTTTTCTAAGCGTACGGTCCTTTTTTTAAAGTGTTGCTTTTCGAAAAATTACATTAGGAAACTGGGAAAATTTTCCAAAAAAATTTTTTTTGTTATTTTTCCACCTAGTCTTGCAGTCTGATGTGGTTCGCTTTCCAAGGTACAAAAGAATCTCGTGTCCACCACAATTAGCTGAGAAGACGTAGATGTTTTATGGCGGCTAGGTTTTCGGAGCACTCAATTTTTTAGGTCTGCGACACCTCTAGACATAGGTTATCGGTTGACCCGATCATGCTCGTGATGATAGTTTTTCCTTCCAAAGCGAAAATTGGATTAAAATCGTTTCTATACAACGTGTTTTTTCAACGTCTATTTCGTGCTATCGTTCAAAGAACTTACTTTTCTGAAAAATAACGCGGACGAATGTTTGCTTCGATTCGAAAAACTGCCATCACGGCCATGATTAGCCCAATTGATAGCCTGTATCTGTATATTTTTTAAGTCTAAAGAATATCGTTTTGCGTGTCGATGTGTGTGTGAGCGTATCGACTTCGCAAATGGAAGCGACCATTTCACTCAAAGACCTGGAGAAATGAGTTAAAGCCATATAACATTTCTTTTTTATTGAAGTGATTTATTGTTTAAAAATAGAGGGGAAAAGCAAAACTGCCAGCGCTATAACAAAGGCAAAGAAGATTCGACTATTTGTGATTGTCAACGTTAAAGGGCCAGCAGCATTGCAAAGTTTCTGTTTACATAGACACATCATAATCTAAATTGAGAAAAAGAGGTTGTAGTTGCTCTTTTTCATTAGATGTGATTGTGAAGAAAGTGATTCATGTTTGATCGAGAAATCCACTTCTTTACGTTAAATACTTGCCGCTTTATTTCGTGTTGCTGAGGAACATCCGATAGAACTTTTATTATCAGTTAGACGGCATGAACGAGTTACACTAAGCACATTATCGACTAAAAGCAATCAGAGACTCTATTTTCGTTTAACTTGACAGAGATACACTGGCTGCCAGACATACTTGTTTGTTCAACTTTACTACAGAAATATTCACTTGATTTACATTCCTGTTTAAAACTAGATACTCCTCCTTTTAATTTTAAATGAAGACACTCTGCTCCGTCAATATTTGAATCACAAATATAACACGTTAATGGTGATTTCGAACTATTGGCTAAAATACAAATCACGTGTCAGAAATTAACCGTGAACAAGTTTGTTCAAGTCTTACGTGGCACACCCCAAGGATGTTCTTGCCATAAGAAAGGATAAACAACAAATCCTCCCATACTGGTTTGAATTATATCTAAATTAGAACAGAAATGGCTATACGAACCGCTATCCAACTGTGTTTGCCTGTGAAATTTTCTTCCTTTACTTTGGCAAAAAGCGATGCAGAATGACGTAAACTTCACCATTCAACTTAATAACGCCTAATGGAAAAACGGTATCGAAATAAAAGGTCATTTCATTTCTGATTTTCCTCTCATCACTCAGTCGATTATTTCGACCAGTAGGATGGTTTTTTGATACCTTTATGAGCTGTAGAAATTAATATCTATTGGTCTTTCTGTCTCTCTATCTCTATACCCCAGTTTAAGATAAATCCATTTCTGTGATTTTCCGTAAGATTTTATAAGATCGTGTAAGACCTTGATCTGATTTTTTGACCTGAGGAGTCATGGATCTACAAAGTCTTGTGCCAGACATTGTTGATTCGGATATATTTTCTTGTCACAAGGGTATATAGGATCTTACAAGATCATATCGATTTTTGTCATGAGATCTTACATTATCTTTACAAAGTACATATATAATTTTTTTTATACAAAATAAAACTAAAAATTCAAGAGATCTTTTTTCGTTATTGTCTATTCAAGCAACGTTCTCTTCTTATTTCTTGTGCTTTATTACACCTTTCATGCTCCCCTCAGTACACAATAAATTAAAACATCAAAAAACCAACTTTTCAAAAGAAATTTGGTTAACTTTTCCTTCTCGGTATTTTTCCGCTTTAATTCTCTTCTACTTCGATTTATTATTATTAATTGTCAAACACCCTCACCCTCAACACCTCGAACTTTCTTAAAGATTAACTTCTAAGACAATAATCCATCAAAAAACTAAAAAACGACAGACTGAAAATGTGACGACATTTTTCCTACCGAAAAACAAACTTATCGATACAATGTATTTTTCAGAACAAGAAAAAAGATTTGAACTGTTCGATTTCGGTATTTGAACTGGTAGAGTCCTGGAATTCTAGTGTCCTATTACCATTTTCTTCTCCAATCAAAGAGACTCTTTCCAATAAGCATCAAGTTGTTTAATAAGTAATTGCGGTTTTTCTTCTTCGATAAATGATTCTTCAAAACCGTTACGTATAATTTTGTAAATATTCTTCTGATCCAGATGAAATGCATCCGTAACGGCAAGGTAATTTGCATTCAGATAACCACCAAAGTAAGTCGGATCATCGGAATTAATTGTTACCATTACACTTGAATCGAGTAATTGTTTTAATGAATGTTTTTTCATATCATCAAAGACTAAGTTTAATATTCGATAATGGACAAATTGTTAACGGAATTTTTTCGTCGACTAAACGCTTCACGAGCAATTCATCTTCTACACTCCGTACTCCATGATCAATACGCTCCACTTTGAGTATGTCGAGTGCTTGTTTAATATACAACGGTGGTCCTTCTTCTCCAGCATGTGCAACAACTCGTAAGTGGTGTTCACGTGCTCTTACAAATAAACGTTGAAATTCTTCGGGTGGATGATTTTGTTCGGTTGGATCCAAACCAATACCAATTAATCGATGTTTATATTGGTCAAATAATGGTAGGGCACGAATGAACGTGTCTAATGCATCTTGTTCATCCAAATGACGTAAAAAACACATGATTAGTTTACTTGAAAAATTATATTTTTCTTCAGCTTCAATAAGGGCACGTTCAATTCAGTCAATGATAGTTGTTAATTCTATACCACGATGGGTATGCAGTTGTGGGTCGAAAAATACTTCTGAATGAACAATGTTATCACTGACTGCATGTTGTATGTAATCCATTGTTACGTCATAAAAATCTTGACATGTGATTAATACACTAACACCAACGGCACAAATATCAAGAAACGATTGTAAATTAGTAAATGAATAAGCGGTACGTAATTCATCAGCGGAATTATAAGGGAGTTTAACGTTATTACGTTTGGCTAAATGAAACATCAGCTCAGGTGTAAGTGCCCCTTCGATGTGGACATGAAGTTCAGTTTTTGGAGAACGACAAATTTTATCGTGAAACGTGATAATTGTAGCCATTAATCAAAGTTTCTGAAAAGAAATATATCATACTAAAAACAAGCTAACTGTTATTAGCATTTTATAAAACTAATTATCTATATGGGTAGTATAAGACCATAATGACAGTTTAGGAAGTTCAGAGCTCTACCATCTCAATTTTAATATATCGTTTCGTTAGTTCAATATACTATAACCTATCTAGCGCTGTGACAGTTACCGTTACCACCGTTACTCGGTAACGATAACTGCTTAGCCATTACCGTTACCAAGAACGGCAACTGTTCAGCAGTTACAGTTACTGTAACGCTAATGGTAACTGTCACAGCCCTACACCTATCGTTGGATCACAGACCAAATCAAGAGAACCCTGGGAATGTTTGAGGTGACGGTGCAATGTTAAGTACCAGCTGTAAGACCATTATTTGGGAAAATAAATGATTTTCAAATAAAAATTTTCAACATGACCGTACGACATGCAACACTGCAGTTAATAGTTTCTATAACGATTTTCTGCTTCCTCTGTGAAATAAATGTTGGTGAACACCGTGGCATTAAGAAGAAAGAAAGAAATGGTAGAATCACCAGATTGATGCAGCAAATGACTCTGGAGGAAAAAATTGGTCAATGAATACGGATAAAATAGTTGTCATTATTATTATCTAAATCAATCGTTTTTATTAAGAAAAATGGATAATTAGAAATGAAAACAATGATAAAATAACATATTAAAATCTGTCCTTAGCTGTTGCGAGATTTAGGAATATCTCTACTAGGCATTCCTTTCTTTTGAAGTCGATCTAATTCTTCTTTTGTTGGTTTTGCTGGAATAAGTCTATTTGGTTCGCGTTTCACGAGCTTATGAGCCGTTAGTCCTCTATTATTGATAGTGATAATTTTATTTTCATGAACGAAATACTTTACTGGAAGTACTGAAGCACTAAATTTTTCCACAATTTCTTTTCCTTCTGTATCAACTCTAGGATCTGGATTGGCTCTTAATATATCTAAAACATTGTTTGGAATAGACTGTTGAGCTTCATCAGTGGTATAGCCTCTAAAATATGCATTGACATTATCTTGACTAAAGTAAACTTCTGCTGGAGTAGCACAATGAGTTTTGGCTTTCCATGTCGAAGCCATAAAATCAAAATTTCTTGCAATTTCATCTGATGAAGTACCAAGAACTCTATTAGCAAGTATTAAATTATTTTTTTCTCGAAAATCTTCGAAACGTCGGTTTATGGCATTATAGAATATATTTCTAACTTCTGGACTTTCAGCAATTTCACTCGCCACTTTTGCATTGTTGATATCGCATTTTATTCCTTCTAAAATTTCTTGGCATTCGATTGGATTAATTTTACCTTCCGATGATTTATTATGTTTTTCAATGAGTTTAATTAAATCATCAAGTTGAACCGAAAGTTTTTCCCTTGATGGTAATCGAGGATCACTTAAGATTAAATTAATTCTTTTTGTTGAGTATTTCGATTGGCTTTCTGAAATACGATTGGATTGATTATTTTTACCTCCTATGTAAAGTAAGTTTTGATTTTGATGTTCAGCAAGATAATGAACAGATGGCATCATTTTAGCATATGAATCAGAATTTTCTCGAATAACATCAGCTGCCATTTGTCTCAATTCAGTAGATGATAAATTTGTTTGTGCACTAAGTGTATCAAAGCAACAATTTTTAGCACCGGTAGGAATAACAACTGTACTACTATCTACACTGGTATAATGTCCAATATCACCTGTTTTGTTTTCTCCGAAATCAACCTTCAATGGTTTACCAGCATTCATATCACCAATGGTCATATCGTATACTCCATTTCTAAAAATCTGTATTGGACGTCCAAGTTTAGCACCTATAGCCATAATATCTTTTAAATCACCGGGAGCGCCATTTTCAACATTCTGAGCTAATTTTTCAACATTTGAGTCGATCAATTGTTCATCCAGTTGAGTGTTTGTTCTTTGTGTATCTTTATTCGCATGTTTCCAAATATCTCTTCCCCCTCGAATAATATCATTTTGAGCTCTACGATTTTTAATTTGTTCTTGTAATGTTCCTCTAGTATCAGCATATGCTTTTTCAATTTTATTTGATAAATGATCTACAGTAGCATCTACACCAGTATGAACAACAGGATTGATAAGTTCAGCATTAAGTCGATTCGTCATATAAGTAGCTAATTGATCAGTTAACGTTTTTGTAATCATACTTTTTTCGAATCCATATTCAGCATGTTTTGTAGTTTCAATATAAATATCATTACAAACTTGAACAACATAATTTTCATGTTTTTTATGTTGTTTTAATGTAATTGAAGTAAGATTAAGTGGTTTAAGAATTTTAATATGATCTTTTTCAATATATTTTTCTTTTTTTAATTGTTCAGTTATTTCTTTTGCTGTTCGTTGATCAATATTATTTGAATTATTTTTATAAAGTAAATGATCAATTTTTAATTTATCTCGTAATTTATCTAAATCACGTTTAAATTCAATAAAAAATTCATCTAAAATTTTTAATAAATCTGTAAGACATTTGCCTGCAGTAAATATTTTTAATGTACGTGCACTAACACCATTAGTTAATTGATTTGTTATACCTTTAACAATTGAAATAGCTGCATTGAGAAATCGATTACTTTGTGGATGTAATATTCTGTTTACTAAATTTTCAATTTCATTATGACATGCATTTGTTCGATGTAAACTAGCATCAATAATTAAGAAATCTTTAATTGTTTGATTAAGATTTATTTCATTATTAACTCGTTTTTGAATATGTTCACAAATTTCTTCATTTATTCGTTTACTTAATTGAGTTAAAATTGTTTTATCTAATACAGTTTTAAGGATTTCTTTAGTACCAGCTTTAACAAATGCTTGACCAATTTGGTTACCAACAAGTATCCAACCTTCTTTTGTAAATTGTCCAATTAATTGTTTACCACCAATACTAGCTGATTTGATTATACTAGCGCAACCTTTGAAGCCAGATTTAATTGCTTGACCTGTTTCTTTCAATGCTACCATACCACATGTTGCTATAGTAATAGTAATACTAATTGCTTTTTGTATTGCATATTCTTTCCAACTAAATTCACCTATAATGGCACTTCTTATTGCAGTTATCATATCACCAATACCTTCAGTTAATAACATGTTACCAATTGATGCTGCAGCACCAGCAGTAAAGGCAATAATAGCTGCACCGGCAACTGCTTGTGCAATACCAATTAGACCCACAGCAATTATACTCAACCAAGGTGTTGGTTCTTTTTGAGTTAATTGAAAAAATCCTAATATTCCATTTTGTTTAAATTCATTTATATCTAATGTAGGTTTATTAATATCATTAAAAAATTCATCCAATTTCTTATATTGCATTCGAACATTTTGATCTTTACTTTCTGCATTATCAATAACAGTTTTTGCTTGTTCCATTTGATTCTTACATAAACATAAAAGATTAATACGATTCATAATTTGATCTTCAACATCACTTTTTTTATCAGTTGTATTATTATTAGTATCATTAGAAACTGTTCGAAAAGAAATTACTATCGTTTCTTCTTGTGGTATTAAAATTTCATCAATAATTTTTAAAGCTGCTTCTAATTCAGATTTAGCTTCTGTTTTATTAGCATTCTTTTGTTTAATTAATGCATAGGCTAAATTATATCGTGCACTAATTGTAAATATTGGATCGGATTTAATAGCTGTTTGTAAAAAACTAATTGCTTCTTCATAATTTTTCTTTTCGAATATATATTCATTTGCTTTTAAAATTAAATAAAATGGATTTTGAAAAATTTCATCTGAATTATAATCAGCTAAAATTTTTGATCGAAATGCTTCGAATTTAGTATCGAGTAATTGATCACTGAGATTATCATCTTTATCATCAGTAGAATCTTCATTTGAGAATGTAGTTTTAAGCCAAAATCCCCATAATTCTTCTACACAATCTAATTTGTATTTATCATTTTCTTTTTGACGTAATTCTGTACGTAAATCACAAAATTTTCCAAATAATCTATCACGTCTTTCAATACGATTCAATTCAATACGTTTCGCTCGATCTATATGTCGTTTTTCGTGCTCGTCTCTATATTCTTTCAGTTGTATAATATTATCATACTTAGTTTCACCATTAATAGGTGCCAATACGATCAATTGTGCTGTACCACGTTTTCCTTGTCTTGAAGTTCGACCGAATGCTTGATGTTCAACACGTGTATTTAAAGGTAAAAATGTGACTAATACATGAAGACCACCATTTTCTTCAACTTTATGTGTTGTACCAATATCTGTACCTCGACCAGCAAGATTTGTCGCAACAATAATTTGACCAGAATCTAATTCATTATTAATTGCATTTTGTTCGTCATTATCACTACGTGTATATAGTTTAATTTGTTTCTTAAGTTGATCATCTTTTTCAATTAATTTATCATGAATTTTTGATGCATCAGATTTTGTTTCACAAATAACTAAAACAGCTCGTTGATTTATTTTAGCTTCAGTGTAAGTTGAATTTGTACAATTATTTAACCATTCTTGTTCAGATTGATTTAATTGATCAGGATAGGCTATGAATTGTGTATATTTATATGATGGTATAATGACAAAATCAACATTATAGATATAGCGAATTAAATCTTTAGCTTCTTTTGACCCAAGTGTTCCTGTTAAACCAAATAAATTCTTTCCATAACGACTAAAAAATGCAACATTGGAGAGAAAATTTGTTGTTAAACTTTCAGCACTTATTCTTAATTTATGTTTTATTTGTAAAAATTGATGTAAACCATCAGGCCATGATGTATTGATTTGTATAATACCGGTATTTTTATAATCAATTGGTACAATTGATTGAATACTATCTTTATTATTTATGATTAAATAATCAATATTTTCATGATAAAAATGTTTTGCTTGCCATGCACTTAATATCCATTTATTCAGTTGTTCCTTTACAAATGATGTCAAATGTTTTGGAATATTCAAAAGACATTGATTTTTTTCATTAGGTTTTAATAAATAATTTTCAGTATAATTTTTTAAATGATTTTCAATAAATTCATATGGATCATTAATTTCTTGAAAATCATTTTCATCATCAGTATCTATAACATTACCATTTTCATCAGTTTTTTCAGGTTTTAACAATATTATTTCATTATTATCATTCATTTGAAATGGTACTGTAATACAATATATTTTCTCATTTATCCGAACAATTTTCTCATATGTACGATTTAATTCTTGCCAAATAACAGTTAATAAAACTTTTAATTCATCTATAGCTGGAATTTTACTTGATAAACGACAGATTTTTGAATTATCATCAATTAACATACTATCAACTTCATCAACAATTGCAATATCAAATTTACGTTGACAACGTGTACCTAATAAACTATATTCATCTTTTAATATATCGAATTGAAAATCATTGACATTCCCATAAACAATATCGTTTTTATAGCATGGTTTTGTTGTCGACAAACCACTATTTTCCCCAACAGTTAAATTCAACACTGTATAAAATTGTTGTTTATTTTCAGCATCACGTTTAGCTAGTAAAGGCGATGTAGTTATAATATCAACTTTATGACCATTTAACGCTTTAATTGCTGCAAACATGGCAATTATAACACTTTTACCTTCACCTGTTTTGATTTGGGCTAAACGTGCAATATTAGCATTGGATGCATTTAACATTAACAATAATGATAGTATTTGAATTGTTCTTGGCTCAAATTGTTGTTTTGTATTATATAGAAAAACTGCACGTTTAACAACACATATGAGTTCATAGGTTGATTGTTCTGAGCGTTGACTTGAATTTTCTTTGTAATGTGCTGACCATTTTTTAACATCATTTTCATCCCAATGATTAATTGATTTACCAATTGAATAAAATTTCGAATCGAGATTATAGGTTAACATTATATTTCGATATTTTTCTTCAAGATTTTCGATTGTATCATTTAAATGTTTATTATTTTCGATATCGTTATTCCTAAAGCAATCAAATAGATGTCTTGTTTATTTTGAAAAATAAAGAGAATATATTTAACGGGTGAGGCAAAAGTTCTGCATTAATTTTCTTTTCAGTGCACTGTGGCAACGAATCGTCATAGAGACTTGATCCTTTTCTCATTAGATAGAGCAAGGTGTCTACTACAAAATTGTGTAAAAATATTTGATTCAAAATGTTTACCAAAGACTAAAAAGTTTTAAGAACAAATTGGACTGGATTGGTATTGGACAAATTGGTATATTTCAACTTCAATCAAATTTAGGGATGAGAAATGCACTTCTTGGATTTGTTTTCCACTCGGCTTTCAATGTTTTGAGGCACGTTATATGTGAATCCGACCAATGCGACGCGGGCTTTCTAATCATACGAAAATATTTGAGTTACAAAACTACAGGTTTCAGAGGAAACATTTTTATTAGAATCTTGATTTTCTGTCTACAAGATCAAATGAAATTTTTCTCGTTATTCCTAACAGAAAAGCTGTATTCCGCTTTATATAGTGTACTTTTGTAGAGGACTCAATAAGCTTTAATTGCGTATGAATTAGGTGGTTTCTGCTAACTTCGATGTTGAAAGAAATATTATTTTTCGAAATCATTCATTAGTCACAAAAATTTGCGCTAGCAAAGACGTTAGAAAAATGTTGATTTTGAACTCAACCGATCATTTCAAAATTTTATTTTTGCGCATTTACAATGCCCGACCGTAGCGCTGCAAAACCCGATAAAAGCGGCGAAATAAGACCAACTTTCTTACAGAACAGAATTTTTCCATCTGAATACCAGAAGTTGAAAGGTACTTTTTCAGTCCAACTTGTTCTTAAAACTTTTTAGTCTTTGGTAAACATTTTGAATCAAATATTTTTACATAGTTTTGTAGTAGACACCCTGCTCTATTTAATGAGAAAAGGATCAAGTCTCTATGACGATTCGTTACACAATGTACTGAAAAGAAAATTAATGCAGAACTTTTGCCTCACCAGTTATGTGCGTTCTCTCAAAACTGATCCAGAATTTCTTAGTGATCCGATCTGACTGAAGGTCAACTGCTTTTTCAACGAACCGATCAAATTCGAGTTGAACTTCGCAATAGATATTTTATTATAGGAAACGTAACGATGTATCTTTGGTAAATGATGGTTACTCATGCATGTCGATTTTTTATACAGATTGTGACAAACACTAGACATGCACCAAACCCATACTGTTTGAAGTTCGAAGTTCGATGTTCGAACTCGTTTTGAGTTCGATCTCAGAGTTCGAGTTCGAACCGAGTTCGAACTTTAAGGTTCAAGTTCGAGTTCGAGTCCAACTCGAGTTCAGTTCAGTACCGTTTCGAATTTAGTTGTATTCTAACGTCAAACGTTGCATTCGATGTGAGATTAAATCGTAAGTGATTCTTGTTAGATGTCACACCGAATTCAGTATTAGACGTCAGAATTCGGATTAAATTTAAAATAAATTTAAACTGAGCTCGACTCGAACTCGAACTTTCAACGTAGGCTCGAACTCGACTCGAGCTCGAACTCAAACCGAGTTCGAACTCGAACCGGTTCGTATCAAAGCTCGAATCGGTGTTTGACGTTTGGTGCATGCCTAACAAAGACATTGATATGTTTATCACTGTCTATAGCAACATATGGTGAAATTTGTTTATTGTACTTTACATTTCAGTTCTAATGAAATTTTTGATAAATAAATTTCAAGAGAAAGTAAAAATTCCGGAATAAAGAGTTACCTATTTTCTGTCAACTATCTATTACGACAAAGTTGAAGTTTTAAAGAAAATCTATAATTCAAAAATTTCAGTTGATAAAGTGTGTTTAAAGTGGATTAAGTGAATAGCTTCAATTTCGATCCAATTTATAAAATAATTGTAAATAGATTCGCTCTTTTGATTAGTTAAAAATTTAGATAATTGAAAAATAAAATAAAATACATACTTCTTTATTTCTTCAATTAGATCTTTTAAGGTCTTTTCACGCTCATCATGATCAAATGATACAGATATAGCAAATTTATGCATAGCCGATGGCCATTGATTTGAATCTTTTAATTTGAATATAGATTCAGCATTTGTGCCATGATTATCCAATACATCATGTTGTATTCCATAATTACTAATAACAGTTAATGTATCGAAGAAATTTTTTATTAATAATGGAAATGGTTCATCTTGTTTGGCTTCTAAAATATCAAATAATGTTTGAAACACTTCTAATGACCAACTATTTGCATATGCTAACATAATAGTGGTTTGAATATTCTGTAAAAAGTCCAATTCATTGAAGTTGCGTAACTTGCATAGATCGAAAAGTTTTTTTTTTATTAACTCACATTGAATCTCCAAATTCCACGAATCTAAATCTTTGGTGATAATTTTTTGTTCATCTGTACGTGTGAAATAGTCACGTAAATCAAGTTCTTTATAAATATTTTTCTCGTACAGGTAGTCTAGGAAAAGTACCAATTGATTGAAATCTTCAATATGGTGAATACGTTGGAGAATGCATTCACTTAGGAACACACCAAACTTAAGTTTCATTATCAATAACTTAATTATCTTTTCTGCAATATCATCGGTCAAAGGGAGTCTTTCGAAAATTAGATGGTCGCATACTCAGTCAAACACAAAAACTTAAGAGATGCGTGTATTCACGGAATATATGAAGCTGGAAACTATATCTCAAATCGTGGTTACAACACTACTGTCGAATTTTTTT